AGAAAAATAAATGTGACCTCAGGATATGTGGCTGTACAAAAACAATCAACAAATATAAAGTACCTTTTACTATAATTTAAAAAATCCACGCCTCTGTATTTATCTGTATGTACTTTAGCATAGAAAAGTCAAGAAATTTAAAGAGCAGCCAAGCCCTGACTGGTTTGGCTCAGTGGATAGAGTGTCGGCCTGCGGACTGAAAGGTCCCAGGTTCGATTCCAGTAAAGGGCATGTACCTTGGTTGCGGGCACATCCCCAGTGTGGGGTGTGCAGGAGGCAGCTGATCAATGTTTCTCTCTCATCGATGTTTCTAGCTCTCTATCCCTCTCCCTTCCTCTCTGTAAAAAAATCAATAAAATATATATATTAAAAAAAAAAAGAACACTAAGGATAGTTTTGGGATCATTTTCATGGTGATTGCAGAACTGTGGGACAGGAATACCTTCATGGAAAGCATTCTAGGGGACTGGAAACTAGGAGACAGGGTATTGTCTAGTCTACATGTTTCAGGAGAGAATTACATTGGGCTTTATTCCAACCATGACTGTCATAGAGCTAGATGGGGTCTTTTTATTGTTGTTAATCCTCACCAGAAAATATTCTTTTCATTGATATTTTTAGAAAGACCATGGAAGGGGGTAGGAGAAACAGAAGCATCCATGTGAGACACATCCACTGGTTGCCTCCCACAAGTGCGGGGCTGGGGATTGAATCTGCAACAGAGGTATGTGCCTTTGACCGTAATTGAACCCAAGACCTTTCCGTCAGCATGTAGACGCTCTAATCAGTGAGCAAACTGGCTAGGGCTAGATGGGAGGTCTTATAATGAGGAACTGCCATAAGAATAAGAGGGCACTGCGATGAGGTCACACTAATTTAATTTGGGAAAATTAAAGCTAAAGAGGGATGATCATAGATCGATGATTATGAATGGCATATACACATTGAGCCCAGATTTTTACCTCATTCAAATGAAATGCTTGGCCAAAGATGCCTTTACAAACATGAACAAGGTACCTACTTTGCATCAATTATAAGGGAAAACATCACACAGAGGTGGTATAATAAAGCAACTGAGAACATGAGCTCTGGAAGTCAGTGTGCCTGTGTTCATAACCCAGCTCTGCCTCAACTGAAAATTGGAGGTAATAACAGGACACATCTCACAAAACCGTGGTGAGGATTATAACACAGGCAAAGTTCTCAGAAAAAAGGGTCTGGCACATGGTAAGCTTTCAATAGAAGCTAGGTATTAATATGCTCCTAGAAGTCAGGAAACAAATTGATTTTCTAGAGGTTCCTATATATTTATGAATGGGAAATCAATATATGGCTATTAATAGAACTAGAACATACCCAACTTTAAGGTTAGTGATGTCTGGATGGGATGAACCAGTAAGGCAATGCCCATTTCTCCTAAGTGTTCAAATCTAGAAAGTATTGACTGTTAGCTTTGATAACCCTTGTCTTCATTACTTTTGTAAAAGGCATAAAAGCAAAATGGAAAAAAAGGTGAAAAGAGAGAGAGAGAGATCATTAAATTTGGCTACTTCTTCCTCATTGTTAAATTCCCAACTTAAAAAGTCACTACTCCCACCTGGCCGGTGGCTCAGCTGGTTAGAGCATCGTCCTGACATGCCAAGGTTGCAGGTTCGATCCCCGGTCAAGGCACATACAAGAATCAACCAGTGAGTGCATCAATAAGTGGAACAACAAATCAATGTTTCTTTCTCTCCCTCTCTCTCTCCCCCCTCCCCCCCCCAAAAAAAAAAGTCAATAATAAAAAAGAAAAAAAAAAGTCACTACTCCCGATAACCCTTAAAGTAGGTCTCCTTATGTCTTTCTCAGCACCCAGTTTGCTTCCTGCACAGCCCAGCACTTATCACAATTTTTAATTATTTTATTTGCTTATTTATTTTTAATGTCTTCTCACTAAATAGCTCCATGATGACAGAGTATCTTTGTTGATTTTTGTCATCCTTAGTTAAGTTTAACACAGAAATGGCATGTAGTAGGCACTCAATAAATACCTGCTGAATGAATTATGAAGCAATGATCTGTAAGGCCCCTTTCAGCTAAAATCAATAACTATTAGGTAATAGAAAAAACAACAAACATTATAAAGGGAGAGGCTTTTATTTTTGGGTCTAGGAAATATTTAATGCCTCACTATGATCAAACTAACCAAATGGCTCTATTCCAAGTTTATTTAGAATTTGACTGATGCAATCTCTTCGAAACTAGCACCCTCCCCAAGTGACTTTGTCAGTTTTGCTTTCAGATTTGCCTTACTAATCTTTTTTATTTAATCTTCACCCTTGTATATGTTTACTAATTTTTTAGAGAGAGAGGAAGGGAGAGAGAGGAAGGGAGAGGGGGGGAAGGAGGAGAGGGGAGATAGAGAAACTTTAATCAGTTGTTTCCCATACACGTACATGCCCCGACCCAAGATTGAATCTGAAA